AAAAAAAAAAAAAAAAAAGGAGCTTGATGGTTCTTACTGTCCATAGGCTTTCATCAGCCACAAACGGACAGAGGAACAGACCTGGGTTTCTTATAATTTAAAAATAAAGGAAGGCCCGGGCATGGTGGCTCATGCCTGTAATCCTAGCACTCTGGGAGGCTGAGGCAGGTGGATCGCTCAAGGTCAGGAATTCTAAACCAGCCTGAGCAAGAGCGAGACCCCCGTCTCTACTATAAATACAAAGAAATTAACTGGCCAACTAAAAAAAATATAAATATATATATATATATATAGAAAAAATTGATCAGGCACGGTGGCACATGCCTATAGTCCCAGCTCCTCGGGAGGCTGAGGCAGGAGGATCGCTTGAGCACAGGAGTGTGAGGTTGCTGTGAGCTAGGCTGACGCCACGGCACTCTAGCCCAGGGCAACAGAGTGAGACTCTGTTTCAAAAAAATAAAATAAAATAAAGGGAGATACGTCCTCCCATGCGGGGCTGTGACGAGAAGAGCCCATCCAGCCTCATTCATACCCAAAGAGGGAGGTGTTTGATTTGGAGCACAGATCAACCCCTGTGGGTTTTCACATCCTGTTTCCAAGTAACCAACGTGAAAGAAAGATCATCTCCTGGGATAAGGAAGGGCCTGTGGGAGTGGCTTCAGGAATGCCAGGCACTTGGGATGACAACGTCAGGGTCGGAAAACAGCCCGGTTACTTTTGCGAGTGCTTCCGAACGCGCTCTCTCCAGAAACCTGCTCTGTTCCGTCTCTTCTCTGTCCCGTCATCGGCTGCGAAACTAATACACCCTCCCAATGCCACACGTACTAAATGGGTAATTTAATGAAGTGGAGCGGACCCCTGCCCCACGTGAAAAGCGCACGCGCAGCGTGTCTGATGTCACTCACTGCCTGGGTGCATTCTCAGGTTCACACGTTCCTGACACCTCCCAGAGGTCTCCAGGTGTCAGGAAAACCAGGGAGGCCCTGAGCGACAGAGGTTCTGTGCAAGGCCAGCGGCAGGCTCAGCCAACCGGGTCACGAGCCACAGCCTGCTGCCGCGCGGCGCTCCTGGGAACAGAGCCCCGAGCACCAGGCGGACCCCCTCCCTCTCCTGCCTCCCGCGCCCCAACACCCTGGGTCTGGGAGGAAGCTCTGACTTCCCTGCGACCCAGGGCCACAGACCCGAGTGGAGGAAGTGGCTGGGAGCTGTCCATGGTGGCGTCCGCCTGGGCACGCAGAGCCGCCGGCTCCCGCCCCCGGCGCGCCGCGCTCTCTCTCCAGACCGCCGGGATGGAGAGACGCGCTCCGGGCTCACCATCTCCGGGTCGGCGGCTGCAGCCAGGCACTGGCTCGCCACATCAAAAGGCTGGCTTTACGAGGGAGTTCTCACCTGTGGGCAGCGCTGGCAGCACGGAGCAAGACTCGGGACCTCAAACCCGGCGGCGGCGGCGCGCCTTGGACGGCTGGAGCGTCTGCCTCTTGGGGAACCGCGGCGGTCGCTGAGAGCAGAGTCTGCCGCGCAGGACCCAGGGCGCACAGCGCTCCTTTCTCATGGGCCTAAGGGTCCCGCGGGGTCCGTTCCAGAGTGTCACTGCTCTCGGTTGGTTGTTGGTTCCAGAGATGTGAGCCCGGAGAACTGGCCACGTTTCCGGCCTGCGCTCTGTCAGGACTCCGCCTTTCCTCCAACCTAATGCGACCCTTTTTGAAGCCCACGTCCTTTGCCAGGGACCGCCACACCTCCTTCCAGGACGCCAGGTTTGGCATCTCCGTATAAACAGCAGCAGGGGTCCTCGAGGTTATGTAGCGTCCAATTGCCTCCGCCCCCTGCGCCAGCGCGCCCCGGGGTGCCGGGAGCCACTGGAGGCGGGCGGGCAGGGAAACCAGGAGCAAGACGGCGCCAGGGAGGAGCGGCAGGGCGCAGACCTTTTGCTAGGCGCACGCCCGCTAGGCACAGCGAGGCTGGCTCCGACGCCTGGCCCCTGGTCGTCCCTCCTCCGCGAGACCCTGTCCTGGGCGCAAGCCCCCCCCCCCCCCGCCTATCAGAAAAGGGAAACCTACTGAAGAGAAACTCTGCCCACCGCGGAATGCGCTCTGGGGACGCCAAGGACCCCCGCGCACTGCAGCTCGTTAAAGGATAAGATATCAGAGAAATCCTCAGAAAACATGATAGGGCATGTGCCCGTCATCAGACGCGCGAAGACAGACAGAGGCGGCGCACAGCACAGGCTGACAGGCAAACAGAAACCGATGGGGCGACCGCACAGCCTGTGCCTTAGCCCGTGCCGGGTGGAGGCGCGGAACTCCGGTTCTTCCCTCCCTCCGAGGCGGGGGCCATCGGCTCAGCCTGACGCCCCAGCCTGGCCCTCTTACCTCCGGGTCGGCGGCCTCTCGAGACAGCGCCACGCCTCGCGAGCTGGGAGCGCAGTGCCGGGCGTGGGTCGCCGGCCGCGGGCGTCTGGTCGCTGCGCTGGGGCGCGGGCAAGCGGGGCGGCAGCTCTCTGGGAACCCGGGTCAGCCCCGGCCGCGCTCAGCCGCGCACTCCCGCGCGCCCGCGTCCCGGCTGCACCGCTGCGCTGCGCTCGGCTCGGCCTGCGCGCTCGCTCCCGCCGCCAGCGCCGGCCGCGCTTATACCGCTTCGCGCGCGTGGTCCTCCCCCGAGCCCCCGCCGCCGCGCGCCCAGCTCCCGCCTCGCCCAGACGCCTCCCTCCCCACCGGCCGAACGCGGCCGCGGGCTCTGGCGGCGGCCGGGAGGCGCACGGCGAGCGGGACGGCGCGGCCGCCAGGTGAGGCGCCGCAGGCCCGGGCTGAGCTGGGCGCCGCGGCGGGACGCAGCGCCTCGCAGGGCCGCGCTTGGGAGCGGGAAGGAAGCCGCGTGGCCAGCGTCTCCGCTGCTCGTCCCCGCAAAGTCTCAGGATGGGTTTGGGTTTTTTTGTTTTTTTGTTTTTTTTGTAACCGGCAGAAACAGAGTGGCCTTGGGAAGGGACTCTGGTGTGCCTTGGGCTGGCAGTTCGTGCGAGAGGAAAATGCCGGGTTTCCGGCCAAGAGACTTGGTTTGAAACTGGGTTCAGACCTGCCGGGATGTGACCTGATCTGACAAGGATCTAAACCTCTCTGGGCTCAGTTTCCTCATCAGGAAAATGACCCTGTGTGCACTCACAGGACTTTTTAATGAGGTCGGGAGAGGTAGAAACAGCACATAGTAGGTGCTCAGGTAAGTTGGAACCTTCCCACGTGGGGCGGGCTCTGGCCTCCTTAGCTGCACGTGCCAAGGTCTAAGCAGGGAAGCAAGAGGTGCCACCGGTCTAGACACGCCCCTGCCAGGGACAGCCGGAGGGTGGAAGAGCCGGCATCAACAACAGGTCCCGGGGTGTGTGGCACCAAGCTGCCTGTGAACCAGAGCACAGCTACTCCCCTAAGTCTCAGAGTGTTTTTGGATTTCTTTCTTCCTTCGGTCAGTGCCCTGCAGGGGCGCCCCACTCTGTGCAGCAGGCAACAGCTCCAGGAATCTTGGTCTGGGCTCCGGCAGGCTGGGGTTCAGACGCAGGCTGCGGAAGTCTGTTCCACCAGCTGCCGGCCGAAGCTACCTTTGGTCCGGCTAAACCGGGGAAGCCCTGCCTCTACCCCAGGCCTTTGCCAGAACGCTGGACTGATCGTCACTGGAGATGGTGACCAGGGTTCTCAGCCTTCCTTAACGCTGGGGAGGAGAGCCGGGTCCACGGCGACCCCTCCCCAGCCTTTTCTCCCCAGCAGACTAGCAGCAGGGACCTGCCAAGAGCCCCCTTCCGCGCTCTGACAGCCGTGATCCTGTTCTTTCCTTTCCTAGGAGCATCGGACACCAGACCCACAAGCGCTGGAGGGAGAAAATGCCGAGCGGCTGGCTCAGATGGAGAAAGGTCAGCCTTGCATCAGCCTTTCTGGAGTGCACGCAAACGATCCACCTGCCTCGGCCTCCCAGAGTGCTGGGATTACAGGCGTGAGCCATGGTGCCTGGCCAGCCCTTCCTTTTTATTATACCGAAAATATACGTAAACCGTGTGTATGAAGTTTTCACATTATTAATTTATTTTTCCTAATTGTAAAAATCACACATGTTCCGTGTAAAAAAAAAAAAAACAAAACAAAACCTTGAATATTTAGAAAATGAACAAAGGAGCAAGGAAATCACCTAACAAAGCATGTTCATCACAAAATGCTTGAAAAGTATAGAAAAGCACACAATATCACTTCTACTCAAATGTCGTTTCTGTTAATTCCAGTACATAGCCAAGCATTTTCCATATGCAAGTTGCAGAGAGGGACGCACAAGTACCTAAGTGTTATGCGAGCATCCCACGGACGGTTCAACGGTTAGCTCAGAATCGTCCTCCCCACTGGGCCGCACGTTCTGGGCGGGCAGGGCCTGTGTCTCTGGCGTGCTCGTCTTCCCGTAGTAGCTCCTGCAGTGCCTGACGCAGAGCCAGCGTGTGCTGGGGGTTTGCGTCATGAGGGAACGGGTACCCGAATGAGCATTTCTCATAAAAATAAGAGACCTGCAGTGAGAAAGGAGACCCAAGTGGGTTGCAAACATTTGGAAAGACACTCGACTTTGCACGTCGGTGAAAAGATGCAAATTAATACTACGCCGAAATACCTATCGGACGGGCGAAAATCTGAAAGTTTGCCAGCACCTTCCGTGGGTATCAGCACCTTTTTGGGGGGACAGAGAGGGTGGGGGACAGGTCGCAGACCCTTGCATGCATCGCCGATGACAGCTTACCCTAAACCCTCTGGCTCAGTTCCTCATCAGGAAAATGGACTCTGTGTGCATCGGACTTTTTTTAATGAGGTCGGGAGAGTGTAGAAACCAGCACATAGTAGGGCTCAGTAAGTTGGAGCCTTCCCACGTGGGGCGGGCTCTGGCCTCCTTAGCTGCACGTGCCAAGTTCAAGCAGGGAAGCAAGAAGGTGCCACCGGTCTAGACACGCCCCTGCCCAGGGACAGCCGGAGGGTGGAAGAGCCGGCATCAACAACAGGTCCCGGGGTGTGTGGCACCAAGCTGCCTGTGAACCAGAGCCAGCTACTCCCTAAGGTCTCAGAGTGTTTTTGGGATTTCTTTCTTCCTTCCGTCAGTGCCCTGCAGGGCGCCCCCACTCTGTGCAGCAGGCAACAATGCTCCAGGAATCTTGGTCTGGCTCCCGGCAAGGCTGGGGTTCAGACGCAGGCTGCGGAAGTCTGTTCCACAGCTGCCGGCCGAAGCTACCTTTGGTCCCGCTAAACCGGGGAAGCCTTGCCTTCTACCCCAGGCCTTTGCCAGAACGCTGGACTTGATCGTCACTGGAGATGGTGACCAGGTTCTCAGCCTTCCTTAAGTCCTGGGGAGGAGGAACCGGGTCCAACGGCGACCCCTCCCAAGCCTTTTCTCCCCAGCAGACTAGCACAGGGAGCTGCCCAGAGCCCACCTCTCCGGCTCTGACAGCCGTGACTCCTGGTTCTTTCCCTTTCCTAGGAGCATCCGGACACCAGACCCACAAGCGCTGGAGGGAGAAAATGCCGAGCGCTGGCTCAGATGGAGAAGGTCAGCCTTGCATCAGCCTTTCTGGAGTGACACGTAGATTTTCCGTGCGCCGGCCTCCGAGGCCCTCGGGGTGTGAGTGGGGCCGGCAGCCCGGCAGAGGCGGCTCCGCAGGCGTCTGGGAGATAAGTGGTGCAGGAAGACGCTCGTCTAGGCTGGCCCCAGAAGTGCTTAGTCATGTTTCTCAAAGCACAGAGATCCGGGCACATCCTCTGGTATCTCGGTGTTCCTGTCGCAGATGCACGCCCCAAGGGAAAAAAGCAGCGCTGATGGGCACAGGCGGCCTGCGCGTCCAGGCCAGACCCTCCAGCCCAACCGCCCCGCACTTCAACTCGGCACCGGCGACAGACCGGCTGCCGCACCCGGTAATCCCTTCTGATAAATATTAGCGCCAGCGCCCTGGCAGATGTGCTGCCCGCACTTCCCAAATCCCAGGGCTTGCTCTCACAGATACAGAAGTGGGCGCTGGTCGTGAAAGACGTTGTTGTTTCTGGTTCTCGCCAGAATCCCCAGCAGAGCCTCCGGACAGCGGGACTGCTCCTACCTGGTGGTGACCCACCACCGGGAAAGCTGCCCTGCCGTCCATTCCAGCACTTGCCTCCGGGCCACTTCCTCCGGCGGCTGCAGCCCCCTCCGCTGGGCCTGCCTGCTCGCTGCCACGCCTGCATTTCGCTCTGCTTGGGATTAAAGCAAGCTGGCCACACTCCAGCCGCTGACCAGCAAAAGCCCGGCCCGCGCCCCATGGCAGCTTGCCTGTGCAAGTCTGAAAGCGGGCTCCTCCGTGGCTCCGTGCTCCAAGCCTCCGACCTGGTTCTCCGGGAAGAAAGCAAGAAAAGCTGGGAGGTGGGAGGGAGCCAGGAGGGAGGGGAAGCAGGATGCGCTGGTTGGCAGCACACCTGCAAAAAATAAAAACCCAGGCATCCACACCTGCCAGAAGCTGCCAGGAACATAAGCATCTTTAAGTTCCACCAACAAGGGGTCGCCCTTGGACACCG